CCATTCACCATTGTTCATCCCAGGAAAGCTGAAAATAAGCTTTAGGATTGGTGAGCATGGTGCCGTCACCGCTGGTGGACTCAAAACAACATTCCCAGTGTCTGCAACCTCCTGGAGGCCTCGTGGAGGCAGCCACCTGTGTTGTGGTAAAGAAAGCAGAGGGAAAGGCTAGGGATGGCGGGATAGGGCAGCCGTGCTGTCAGCTCTGTAGTGTGGGGGAAGCATGTGGCTGCAACGCCTTGCTTCTCAGCAGAACAAGAAGCAGCGCCAGCCTGTGAGCCCCCAAGACCACTTCCTCCAGGTAGGAAGTTACAGTTGCCCAGCAACAAAATAGTGCCCCCAGCTGACAACTAAGCCCATGGGGGACATTTCCTATTCAAACAGTGACCTGTAGGGAGCTTCCTCCGGGCTGGAGGTCTTTCTTACTTAGAACATATGGGAGCAGTGTTCAGGCTGTCAAAAGCCCAGAGGCACTGAGTTCTGTGTTCATTGGTGGTATGTGCTTGTTAGTTGCCTAGTCTAGAAGCCCATTTCAGACAGAAGGCACACTACTGTGTTCTTCGTTTCTGAAGTATTTGGTCTGTTTCACAGAGCCTTGAACATGTTCAGCAAGCACTCTGTCACTGAGCTACAACCCAGACTGTTTTTTTTTTCTATTTTTAAATAAAATTAACAACCCTATCTTTAGACACGGTCTGTATAAAGTATCCAGGGTGGCCTGGAATTCTGTAGTGCAGGCAGGCCTTGAACTTATAAATAATTCTTCCTGCCTCAGACTCCCTAGTAGCTGGAATTATAGGCCTGTGCCACCAGGCTGTTATCACTTCGTTTTGACTGGCTCTCTCTTACAGTAGGGCTTCCTTTCAGGAAAGACCTAGTGTGAGGGCGAGAGCTCATCTATGACCAGTAGCTAATCAGGACCATGATCTGAAGAACCTCATCTTTGTCACTTCTCCCATTTGCAGAGGATATACTGTTTGTTCCCGTGAGCAATTACAGGCATCTGGAGCAGCTGAGTCTTCTTTTGCGGGCAAGCATGGTGGCTGAGGAAATTCTGAATGGTAGAAAATTTAGAATTATGGTGTCTGTTGTGGCTTGCTTTTTCTGTTGCTCGAACAAAATATTGTGATGCAAAGCAAGTTAGAGGAGGAAAGGCTTTATTTGGCGTATACCTCACACCCATATTCTCCTGTTGAGGGCAGTCCTGTGGGAACTCTGGCAGAAACCTGGGGCAGGGAACCAAAGCAGAGACCACCAGGAGGGATGCTGCTTACCAGTTTGGTTTACTTGGCGAGGTTTCTTATATAGCCCAGGACGGCTTGCCCAAGGATGGCGCCACCGGCAGTGGCCTGAGCCCTCCCACATCAATCGTTAATCAAGACGACGCCCCCTCAGATACATCCACAGGACAATCCAATGGAAACTGTTCCTCAGCTGAGAGTCCCCTTTCCAAATGTATCTGGGTTTGTGTCAAGTTGACAAAAACCCGACCAGCACCGTGTCTGAGGCAAAGAATTTGCAAGGGGAACTTGGCAGCTAGCAAGTGTGCATGATGGTTGCCTTCAGGCAAGGTTTCGGATACCAAGGCCACCTTATTAGTTATTTTTCTCTTTTCGTCTTTTCTCAAAAGGAACAATGCTAAATATAAAATACTAGGGCATCCGGTCTAGGTGTGAGCCTGGGAGAGTTGGGATCTTCCTCGTTCTGTTACACAGTTTCTCCTTACTTGCTCTTTCATACTGGAGGCTTGAAGATCGACATACTCCAGGAATAAAATGACACAAGCCAGTCTTTGCTGCTGGCTCTGTGCCTGTGGCCAAGTGGTTCCTGTGAGTCTTGCTGTTTAGAGGCCGGCAGGGGACCTTAGCAATGTCTGCTAATCACACGATCTTGCAGGGTGATTTAGCGAGGCAGTAGCATTCCAGGGCCCTTGCCAGCGTGAAAAAGAATTCTATTCTCCAAGGGGCGGTTATCTGTCCTCCTTGTCCTTTTTCTCTCTCACAGAGATCAGTCCTAAACCCCTTCCCATTGTTCTCAAAAACACCATTTGATGGTGACAAAGATTACCTACTTAGCTAGCCACAGTATCTGGACACTAGCAAGCTACCCTTGAAGGGCCAGGGAGCCCACAGGGCCTCCATGCTTTGCAAAATTTGGCCTTGAAAGGTCTGGGGATATTGCTCACTGGTAGAGTGCGTGCAAGGCACAAATTCCAGGTGAGTGGCTAGTATCCACGGAAGCCAGAAGGGGGCATCAGTTCTCTGTGGCCTGGGTTACAGATGGTGGTGAGCCACCTTGTGGGCGCTGGGCCCTAAACCACAGTGTGGTTTCTTTATTCTCTCGTCTACTGCTTACTGACTACCGTTCCCCTTTGTCTTCTCGTCCGAGTCCCCCCCAACCTCCCTTTTCCCCCAATCCACTCCTGCATTTCTCTTCAGAAAAGCTCAGGCCTCCCATCAACCAAACCTGGCAACCAGTGCTCTTAACCAGGGATTCATCTTGCTGCTCCTTGTGTATGGCGTAATGCTTCTTAATGACAAAGTAGCCAGTTACAGTTTATTAAGAAAAGGTGGCAATTCTAGGTGTATCTGTACCACCTGGAAGTACACAAAGCAAGAGTCCGTAGTTTGTAGGAGAAACAGAGGAAAGTGCAAACACATCTGAGAGTTAAATGTTGCTCTTCTGGGAAATGGCAGCATCTGTAAAGCAGACACAAAGGTCAACCCTATTGCCTGATCTGACCTAACTGACTTCTGTAGACCAGCAGAAACAGAGGACACAACCTTTTCAAAATCTATGAAATGTTCACCAAAATGAGCCCTACTCTTTGGCTATAAAATAGATGTCAATACATGTAGGAGATCTTAAATCATATGCAGTGTGTTCTTAGACCACACTGAATTAAAAAAAAAAATCGGTCAGGGCAAAATATCTGGCAAGTTTCTAAAATTAAATTACACAGTTCTAAAGATCAGGGGGTTAAATCTCTAAACAAAGCTGAAAATATTTTGAAGTAAATAAAAATGAAACCTCAACAGTTCAAAATTATGGGGTATAGCTAAAACAGGAGGAAGGTAGATAACAATTAATTGAATATTTAAAAAGCAAAGAGGCCTAATCTCCTACTTTAAAAAACTTGAGGGAAAAAAGGCAAATAAAGGCCAAAGCAATAGTAGAAATGAAATAATATACAAGTGTATAGAAGTCAATGAAACGGAAACGAGAAAACTAATACAGAAAACCAATAAAAGCAAAAGCTATTTCAAATTTAATAAAATCAATAGGCCTCCAGCCAGACTTAAAGCCAGGAAGACAATTGCAAAATTTATAAGTACCAGGAATGAGAGGGGATATCACTGTAGATCCCAGAGACATGAGGGGAAACGTTATAAATGACTTCATGCTGGTAAATTTAATAAGTTACACGAAATGGACAAATTCCCTCAACACTGCCAAAGCTCATTCTAGGACTTGATATCCCAATAGCTCTATGACCATCACCAAAGTTGTTGGCACAAACCTTCCTGCAGAAAAAAGTCTGGCCCCAGGTCTCAGTGGGGATGAAGATTTTAGTGGGTACACCAGAAAGGCAGTTCAACATGTTCTTATAGGTGGCCGGCGAAGGGACATTCCCACTGTTTATCAGGCTACTTGACAGCCAAGCCACGCACACATATTAGAGAAAAGGCCCTGTCACACCGTTTGTTAACATAGCGACAAAAATCAAGCAAACGTCAGGGGCGGAGCTCAGGATTGCCTACATGTGCAATGTTAGAACCACCAACTTTGCAGAACCACGTACTCCTTCGAACCTGCCTTCAGTCGTCATCACTAGAGGCCAGAGTGACACGTCATCACAACGCGACCACGTTTCCACCATTGCGGATGTGCATGCCCACACCTTCGTGCCGCCTGGCCTCCCTCTCTGTCTCCTCTCATCCCCCTTCCCGTTCTTCCTCCCAGTTGCACGGTGTGATTTTTGTGACATTCCTTGGCCCTCCGATTGCCACAAAACCCTTACACACAGAGCCTGGGTCCAAGGCCCAGTGCAATGTAGACAGAGCATGGCGGTGCCTACCAACGACCCCATCGCTGGGGAACAGGCTAAAGGCAGAAGGATCAGAAGCACAATGTCATCCTTTGTTACAGAGCCATTTCTCTTTCTTTTAAAGACTCAGCTGTTTACCTATTACCTGTAACAGTATTCTGCCCATGTGTACACCCGCTCGCCAGAAGAGGACACCAGATCTCATCTTAGCCGGCTATGAGCTACTGGGTGGTTGCTGAAACTGAACTCAGGGCCTCCGTAAGGGCAGCCAGTGCTCCTAAGCTTTGAGCCATCTCTCCAGCCTTACACAGCCATATTTGAAGCCAAGCTTGGCTACGTGAGATTCTGTCTCAAAATGTGAGTGTGTGTGTGACGGCAAGATGGCTCATGAGATAAAGGCATTTTGCCACCAAACCTAATAACCTGAGTTCAGTCCCTAGGACCCGAATAGTGGAAAGGGGGTAGCAATGCCCACGTGCACACAGGGATTTTTTTTTTTTTGAGACAAGGTTTCTCTGTGTAGCCCTGGCTGTCCTGGGATTTGCTGTGTAGACTAGGGTGGCCTCGAGCTCAGAGATTTTCCTGCCTCTGCCTCTGAGTGCTGGGATTAAAGGCATGTGCCATAACATCCTCCTTAAATAGTTTAAAGGGTGTTGTGTGTGAACAAAACAAATCTAGAAACTTTGGTTCTCTCCTCCTCTAAGTCTTTATATATATATATATATATTTCCATTAACAAGTATATTTAGAAACTCTAGCCCTGACAAATCTGACCCTTCCCAACACTCCTCCTCTCTAGGACCCACTCCAAATTCGGGCTCTTTAGAAAAATGTAGGGCTTCTAGTGGTTTTTATCTGGAAACCAAACGAATGAGCTGTCTGGGCTCCTCACTCCTCACATCCCCATCCACCTGTCCCTGTGGGCTGAGGATAAAAATCTGCTCAGTCAGGTCTAGAGCAAAACCTGGATAACTCCTTTGATGGTGACGCCTCGGGTCATATCCAGCTTGCCCAGCGGCATCTGTGCAACATCCTTGATGTCATTGTACTCGGGGAGGAGGGAGATAGATTCCTCCAAGTCCGTCACACGGTGGCCCTCTGCTGCTGACGCCGTGATCTCCTTGTCTAGCATGTCCCACTTCGCCTTCAGTTTCTGCATGTCAGAGGTCAAAGACTCCTGGCCGATCTCATCAGCCTGTTCAGTTTGGGAGATGACCCGGTGATGGGAAGGCCGCTTGGCAAATTTGGTTGAGTTCTGACTCAGATCTCCTGAGCCCTGAGGTCTGAGGTACCTGGATCGGGGTCTGACGCTCTTCCGAAGGGTCCAGAGTTGGGGTTAAATGGCTGCCTCAGGTCAAATATATTTTATTTTAAAATCCATGGTTAGTTTGCAATTTGAAATTTTCATGTGAAAATGGAAGCAAATGACTCTCTTGATAGTTGAAGAAAAACATACAATTTTTTGACAAAAAAATTACCCATTTATAATAAAAATGTTAACTTTTTTTTTTTTTTAAACAAACAAGTTGCCCAGAACGTTTCTTGGTTTGGTCAAAAGAGCCTGAAAACACAGTTCATGTAGTTTGAAGGTGGAGGCCTGGTCCTCCTTGTCTGTGGTTGGGAAGAATGGATAATCATCCTGTTTCCATCTCACTCTGGGCTAGAGACCCTGGGTAAACCAGTCAGGTAAAAGAAGTGATAGGAGCACTGTGTTGGAAGAAGAGGAAAAACTGTCTTTTTGACAGAAGCACAGTTATCTCTAAGTGAAATAAGAGTGAGGCTAATGAGTTCTCAGAGAAGAAGGCCAAGACCCACCCCTTAGCTGGGTTCTACACAAAGTGAAAGCACAGCGCAAAGGCATTATTTGCTTATTTTTCCCTTATGAGTATGGGTGTCTTCCTGCATGTATTTCTGTGTATTAGAGTCTTTGGAGAGCAGAAGTGGGCATTGGGAAGCATTGGACCACTGGAAGAGCAGCCAGTTCTCTTCACCACTGGGCCATCTTCCAAGCTCTTAAAAAAACACCACGTTCCTTCTACCTCCTCTTTTTTCTCTTCTTCCTCCTCCCCCTTTCCTTCTTTTTCTTCTTCCTCCTCTTTTTTTTGTCTTCTACCTCCTCCTCCTTTTTTCTTCTTTTTAAAAGAAAGGCCAAAACCAAGGCACTGTAAGTTCTAGGAACTGTATCGGGAAAACCTTACTTGTTAAGAGGTAGGGACTGGTGAGATGGCTCAGCAGCTAAGACTACATACAGAAGACCTTGCAGAAGACCCAAGTTTGACTTGCAGTGACCACATTGGGTAGCTCAAAACAGCCCCCAACTCTCACTCCAGGATATCCAACGCCACCTTCTGGGGTCCTTCACTCATATCCTGAAACATTACACATATGCATGTAATTAAAATTAGGATTTTTTTTTAATTTTAAAGAAAAGGGAATGCAGAGATTACTCAGTGGTTTAAGAGCATTTGCTGCTCTTCCAGAGGACCAACTTTGATTCCCAGAATCCACATCAGGTGGTCCACCACTCCAGCTCCAGGGAACGGGGTTATTCTCATCTGGACTTCTACGGCACCGTTACTCACACATGCACAACCCCTTCACATATGTACACACAATTAAAAATAAAAATAACTCTTAAAAAATAAAAAGGAGAAGAACAGGTATAAGGGGAGAGATGAGTTATGGAGCAAGTGCCGTGACAGTTAAGTTGAGGTGGGACTTAAGATCAGGCTGACTGAACTGTGAAAGGGAAAAATGGAAGCAACCAGATCTGACTCGGATGGAACTTTTGGGAAGCCCTTGCAGTCGTTAAGAATGGATGATAGTTGGTTCAAGGGAAAGAGAAACACACTTCAGATTCAGGACACACGTTGGGAGATGAAATCGGTATACACAGCTACTGACAGCTGTTGGCAGGCAGTGAGATGGGAAGACCAGAGCAGCACCCACGTTTCTGGGTCGGGGTCCCCTGACGTATGGCAGCTATGGTGGCTTGGTCTGTCACACACAGACACACCAGGGAAGGAGCATGTGCCATCTTTAGCTGCAGTCTTCAAGTGGTATGCTGTCTAGAGGGTGGCAGGCTGCACAGGCCAGTTTACCCTGGCATGTGACGTTGATTGCTCCGCCACCATCCAGCCACTGACCTGCTCACCAACAGGTAGTTCATTTCCCTTGATCCCCCACCCAGACAGATCCCGAGATACAAAAATAATCCTCCAATCAAGTGGTTAACGCATAACAGCAGGTACTTCTGAATCCTGGCCTTTTTCCTCTGGCCTCTTAAAGGGTCCCATCAGCTCTTCTTCTTTATTCTTTCAATTAAAAAAAAAATCATGTATTTAGCTTTTGACTATAGGATCTATGTAGCCAAGGCTGGACTTGAACTCCTGATCCTTCTGCCTCCACCTCCTAAGTGCCGGGATTACAGTCCTCTGACACCATACCCAGCTCTTCTGGTGTTTCCAAACACTGAGGCTGGTGCCATCCCCTTTTCCACCCCTCACTCTCAGCTGCTTCACCTCTCCCTGACAACGCCCACTCCCATTGGCTTCTTTCTTTCCTTTTTTTTTTTTTTTTTTAATGTATGTGTGTGTACAGGAGCACATGGAGGCTAGAGGTCAACTTCCTGTGTTGTGCCTCAGGCACTATCCGTCTTATTTGCTGAGACAGGATCTCTCTCACTGGAACCTGCTGATTTGGTTAGGCTGGCTGTCCTGTGAGCCTGCGGACCCCCCGTCTCTTGTACATGGGGACAAGTGCAGGCCAGCATATCAATCAGGCTGTTCACACAGAGATCAAGCCCGGTCCACAAGCAACCATGGCAAGCTGTGTACGGACTGAGCCCTCTCCTCAGCCCAAGCTGCTTTTAGGAAATCTGATCATCCTGAAGAGTGAGGTGTTAGTGCTTCCCCTGATGCGAGATTTTCCAAACACAGAGCTAAGGGCAGGATTGGTGGCATAGCTTCAGCTCTGACTGAACTGGGGGGAGCCTGCCACCTCACGATCCATGCACCGCTATAAAGTTTTACTTACTTAGCAAAGAGTTTTTAGACATCTGCGGCAGGCTGTGTGTCTGTGCTCAGTGTTGGGCATGGAATTATGAATACAGTCAACAGATCTGCTGGCCTCGTGGACTTTATGTTTCCATAGGACAGACAGTAAGTAAACAAATACATAAGAATGCTTTGATAAAACTGTGTGTGAAATAAGCAGGCCAGGGAGACAGCTGTTAGCTGGAAGAGCTCACACGCATCAGAGAGACGTATCTGAGAAGTGACATTGGGCTGAGAATGAGCCTGCTCCATGTCACGTCGGAAGACATGATTGCTGGGCTTTAGGGAGGGAGAGGGGAAAAACTTCTGGAGAATATGCTGAGTCTTACTGGATAGCCCTTCAGGCCAGAGGTTTCTGAACTCGGACAGCATGTGGTATAGCCCTGGGAAATGAAGCCAGCCACTTTCTCTTTAAGATTCTCAAGGAAAGGGAGGCATTGTGCCATGGTGAAACAGGCCTAGTTAATGTGTGGCTTATGCTGCACGACAGAGGCAGGCAGGACAGAGTGAGTTAGGCTGTGTGACAGAGATCCCTCTGTCTCTGGGTAGGGGAGTGGGGCTTGTTTAACATGTGATCCACATCAAAGTCACCACCACACAAGGGAAGATTTTGAAACACAGTGAGGTGCTCTTTTAGTTAGGGTTTCATTACTGTGAAGCAACACCATGACTACAGCAACTCTTATGAAGAAAAACATTTAATTGGGGATGCCTTACAGTTTCAGAGGATTAGGCCAATATTATCACATTGGGAAGCATGGCAGTGTGCAGACAGAGGCAGTGCTGGAGGAGCTGAGATTTCTATATCTTATTCTGCAGGCAGCAAAAGGGGACTGTGTTCCAAACTGGGCAGAGCTTCAGCTTAAGAGACCTCAAAGCCCATCTCACAGTGACACACTTCCTCCAACAGGGCCACACCTACTCCAAGGCCACAACTTCTAATAGTGCCACTCCCGATGGGCCAAGCATTCAAATGTATGAGTCTATGGAGGCCATTCCTATTCAAACTACCACATTGCATTTCCCGGTTCCCATAGGCTTGTAGTAACAACTTCAAAAGTCCCCACAGTCTATCACAATCTCAACAATGTTTAGAAGGCCAAAATTCAGTCCTTTTTTTTTTTTTTGAGTTTCATGCAACCTCTTAACTGTTATACAATATGAAATTAAAAAAAATCACATATGTCCAACATATTATGGCACAGGATATATGTTACCATTCCAAAACATAGGGAAGGGAACATGGTGAGGAAATAATGGACCAAAGCAAGACCAAAACCCAGCTGGTCAAACTCCAAACTCTGTACCACCATGTCTGATGTCACAATGCTCTTCAGATCTCCAACTCCTTTCAGCTTTGTTGACTGCAACACACTTCTTTTTCTTGGGCTGGTTCCACTCCCTGTTAGCAGATTTCCTGAGCAGGTATCCCATGGCGCTGGCATCTCTAACTTCTTAGGGTCTCCAAGGCAATCCAGGCTTCACCTTCACAGCTTCACATAATAGCCTCTTTGGTTCTCCAAGCAGGGACACCCCTGCCACACACCTGTCCTAAGCAACCTTTTTTTTAGTTGTAGAGGGAGATTTCATAACTCCTTTCACATCCCTGCCACACACCTGGCCTTAGGAGCATCCTTAGTTGTGGAGGGAAATTTCATAACCTCTGTCTTTTATCCTAGGTTCTAAAGCTAGAACCATATGGCCAAAGTTTTGTTGCTTGCTTGCACTGGGACATGGCCCCTCATTCAATTACATCGTCACTAGTTTTCTGTTTTCCATAGTTTTATTCACTGCCTACGCTTGCCTGTCCTGAAACTTGCTCTATAGATCAGGCTGATCTTGAACTCAGAGGTCTGCATGTGTTTGTCTCCTGAGTGCTTGGATGAAAGACTATTTCTGCTAGGATTAAAGGCATGTACCACCACATGTGGACCTAAGCTTTTCTTTAATTTCTTTTCACGAGATGGAAGCTTATCTAGCTGGAATCTTGTCCTGAGGTCACTACTCTGTTATTTCCATTTAATATCTTTAATCTGTTTATTTCCTTAAACACAGGATTTAGATCCATTCCACTTCCTGGTGTACCTTTAATTCTTGAACTATATGTTTTGTATTTTTTCTTTCTAAGCTTGCTCCATTTCATCAAAACACTCTTCATAAAAGTGAGCCAGATGACAGAGTCTATGTTAGGCTATTTTGAGATTTTCTTTGCCAAAGCAATTAATCTAAATCTCTTCATTTTAGCCTTGGGCAGACT